TATATATATATATTTGTTATAGTTTTTTAACATTTACCGGTCCGGTCCGGTTAAACCGGCGGTTTACCGCATGTAATCCGTTAACTGGACCGGTTATTCCAGATTTTTAAAAAAATTAACCACCGGATTTTTTAAGGTTTTTTTTAACCGACTATTTAATCGATCCGCGGTCCGGATTGATTATTTTTTCCGGTTAAACCAGTCCGTGAACACCCCAACCTGCAAGTTGATTTAGGGCTTAGGGTGAAATTGTTTTTTTTTTTTTTTTGAAAATTAGATATGGTTTAAGGACCTATTTGCAAATTCATAAATGTTTATTATTTTTTAATTATTTTCTTTTTTCGATTAAAGGAAGAAGGAGATTGACTGATTGAGCATACTTTCATGGGCTTTTCTACAGTCAGGTACCCTTGTACTTTGGCTTGTACTTACTTAACAACAAGTACCTTTTAAATGAACGCCATGTGTCCTTTTTGTAATAAATTAAAAAATAAATCGAAAAAAAGGTTAATGCAAATACGAAAATGACCTTACTTAAAAAAAACTAATTTACTTAAAAGGTGTTGAACGTTTGTAATATTAACATATGACCTAAACATAATTATATATCTCAAATAAACAAACAATTAATCCAATATTTCATTTCGAACGATCTTCTGCAAACAAGAAAACACTCACAAATATATGATCGGAAAAAAAGACGTTCTAAGATTTGACATTTGAAGAATAACACGAAGGTACATAATTTTATTTTCTGATTCGATATTTGAAGAACAACAGTATGTGAAATTTGTTTTCAATTTCTTCTTCTTCATTTCGATTACTGTCCAATCATGCGGTAATGTGCATCCATGATTTTGTTGTGCATCCGTGAGTTATAAGACATAGATACGATGAATGTTGTAATGTGAATTTGTATTTACTAATATGGATAATTCATTATTATTGTGCTTCTCATAAAGAAGCACAATAGATGTTTAATGAAATGTCTGAAGGGACTATGAAGACGCAAAACAGATGAGCACCAAAATACAACTTGCCAAAAATTACAACCGAACAAGTTGTTGTTATTGTTGTTGTAGTCATAAACAATGTTTATGACATCAGATTGACATTTTAGAATACCATCATGAGCTTTAGTCATACACAAGAATAATTGCACAAACTATGCTTTAAAACGCGACTTGATAGACATGTGCGATTGTAGAGGTTGGTTGTTGCTATACATTAACTTGGTTGTTTATAAACACACAACATTGATGGTGAAATAGTTGTGTTGTTTAATGTATCGTCATAGTGGAGTTTATGTAACAGCTTAACATCAAAATGGATAAAGGAAAACAAGTCATGATAAAGAATGAAAGATCCTTGTTCATTTTTAAATTTGAGATCCACAATTTCATTGATATGTTTTCTCCGCAGCTGCTACTTTGGGAAGATAACAATATATATATATATATATATATGTATATATATATATATATATATATATATTATGCATGTGAGTGTGTGTAGATACAGGTGGCAAGGATCCAACGGGCCTAAACAATGGAGTTTGTCTCATTATATTAAGTGAAGTTTGTCTCATTAAAACATTAAATTGTTCATTCATTAACGATCGTAGTTGTTCCTCCATATTTAGATGTTCATTAAAACTAAAGGTTTTAACAGAAAAAAAATGTAATTGTTCACACATCAACTTGAAAGAACAATATTTACTTCTTATCTATATGTGATGGTTGGTGTTTATGTGATGGCATGGCACATTATTATAATTGTTTCATCAAGTTCATTTGTGATTTTTCAGATCCTTCAATGCCATGTGTTATTGTGCAAAATGAGTTGTTTTTTTATTGTTTGTTCTTTACAAGCTGTTAGCAAGTGTTATTTTCGTAAGTATGAGGTCTTTCAATGTTCATTTTCGCAATAGGTGTTGAGTGAAATTTCGGAAGATGAATACCGTGATATTCTACCTCTATGGTGCACTCTGACTACCAAAGAAGGTTGTGTTTATGAAGTAGTTATGAAGTACTTGGATAACAGACTCCAATTTGTGGATGGTTGCGGGAAGATTTCATTCACAAAGAAAGAGTTAGGAATGAATTTTATGTTCACTTTGAACGCATCAATGAATCAAGCTTTAACGTATCTATATGGACGAGAGCTGGTGTGGAAAGAGCGCCGCAATATCGGTTTATGATTCAGCTAAAGAAAACTCATTTTGAACGTGCTCTCCTGGTAATTGCATGTTTGAATTTGTCTAATTTCATCATGAAATTGTTGTGGTAAATGGTCCTTAACAAAATTAATAATGTTGTAGTTTGTACAGTTCATTCCCATGGCGTTCTGGAATATGCACATCAAAGATGAAAGGTGTTAAAAAAAAAGCTTATCTTTCGACTGACCAGTGTTTTTACCGTTTGGATGTAACTGAAAGGCATGGTAAAAAGTTGATCGAACATGAGGATGCTCGTCAATTCAGCGAACGTAATGGATTGATGGAAGGTTGTTCGTGTTCATTTGTGCTGCTAGGAGGAGATCAACTGGTGTTTAGGATTATTATGTAGTTGCTGTGACCGGTATAAACTATTCTATTTTGTCTTTGTAAGTTAATGAATTATGCTGTAATTTTATTTGTTGTGTGTTCTGGATAGGGATATGTTTATTATATGCCATGACAACTTTTGAATTATGTTGCATAATCCATTGAACATGTTAAAATTTAAGATTAACATGTCACATAATAAGATGAATTTTTCTATAATAAGCTGAACATGTTGCATATACCAAGATGAACATGTTGCATCATGTGATGAATATGTTGCATAATACATTGAACATGTTAAAAATTAAGGTGAACATGTTACATAATGAGATTAATCTGTTATATAATAAGATCAATATGTTGCATAATATATTCAACATGTTAAAAATTAAGATGAACTTGTTACATTACATAATAAGATGAATATGTTCTATAATAAGGTGAATATGTTATATAATAAGATGAATATGTTGCATATACTAAGATGAACATGTTACATAATAAGATGAATATGTTTTATAATAAGATGAATACGTTACATACATAATAAGATGAACATTTTACATATACTAAGCTGAACATGTTGCATTATGAGATGAATATGTTGCATAATTCGTTGAACATGTTAAAAATTAAGATGAACAAGTTACACGATAAGATGAATATGTTGTATAATGAGATGAATATGTTGCATAATATATTCAACATGTTAAAAATTAAGATGAACGTGTTACACTACATAACAAGGTCAATATGTTCTATAATAAGGTGAATATGTTATATAATAAGATTAATATGTTGCATATACTAAGATGAACATGTAACATAATAAGATGAATATGTTCTATGATAAGATGAATAAGTTACATACATAATAAGATGAACATTTTACATATACTAAGCTGAACATGTTGCATTATGAGATGAATATGTTGCATAATTCGTTGAACATGTTAAAAATTAAGATGAACAAGTTACACGATAAGATGAATATGTTGTATAATGAGATGAATATGTTGCATAATATATTCAACATATTAATAATTAAGATGAACGTGTTACATTACACAATAAGATCAATATGTTCTATAATAAGGTGAATATGTTCTATAATAAGATAAAATTAATGGATTGATGGAAGGTTGTTCGTATTAATTTGTTTTGTTTGCATTGATGCAATGTTATCCAGAATTAGAAGTGAACTTTTTGAAATGATATAGGTTAGTACATAATAGTGTTGTCAATCTGTCACGACGGGCTAAAAAAAACCGATAACTGAAAGAAGCTTAACCTTATGAAACAAGGGAATAGTTTAAGTTACACAAGGTTAAAAAAGAGTGGCAAAACATGATTTTTTGGGTGTACATAGGACAAATAAGCGGTTACAATTTGGTATCTTCGTTATTCTCACTGTCTTACAAACGTGTGAATATTTTCAATGCCCTTGTCCTGACTGTCATTTGGAATGTAGAAGTCACTGTCGTTTCCAACTTCAGATTGTGATGGTTTGCTACTCATTGTTTTTAGATGACATGTGGTTGAATTATGCCCGAGGTCCCTGCAAGTAAAATATTACATAAAATCCAGTTTTAAAAAATTTAAGCTACTAAAAAATTTGAGTGAATATTTAACAATGTACTTACCCGCATGATTTGCATCTTTGTTTTTTAGCTGGCGGTGCCCCACTAGATCTAACCCTACGTGGGTCGCCTTTATTAGTCGAACCTCTCGCTGGATCCTTAATATTATTTGATGCGTTTGGGAAATCATTAGGTGAGGTTCCTGAATTGGCTTCTTCATTTCTCTCAAGGTTATCAATTGCACGTCTGACTTTCTTCACACACTTTTTTGTATCGATCTCGTTCTTAGATGCCTTGGAACACATCTGGACTGACTCTTTATACAGTTCGTGAAATCTTTCATTTTGTGGATCAACAGAAGCAGGCACATAATGAAAACTTTGTCTAAGATGGTTTCCCGCTAAGGTCGTCCACCTATCAAGTATGAATTTGGTTGGCACCTTT